TGGTGATTCGTTATGATCGTGTCTTATATTCGTTCAGATTTTGCACGTCGTTCAGATTGATAGAGAGTGTGAGCCAGCCAGCCAGGTAGATAGGTAGGTATGATAGGTGAGCAGCTAGCTAGCTATTCATTTGTCCGTATTTGCGTCATCAGTTTTGACGGGTATAGTAGCATTTGATGATGTTTTGATTGTTGGATGTAGTGATTAATTGGATTGGATTTGTTTATTGATTAATATTCATCAATGGTTGTTGAATGGCTGTCATGTCATTCATTAGACGCTCATTTGGGCATGATCGGAGCATTGAATGTGAAATGATGCGGCGATTCACTTCAAGTTGTTTGTATTGTTGAGCGATTGGATGATTGTTGACGCTAGTTTTGGAAAGGTATTGTTTTGAGAAGTGCGTTTTTAGGTTCAGAATTTGACACTTTAGATCAAGCTGCAGCAGCAGCAGCAGGCAGCTAGTTAAGGGCAATTCAACTGAATATAGTGAAACAGAAAGGAAATCACAGAAAAGAATGACCGACGACGTGTTTTAATCATAAAACTGCAGACAGCGATTGGCAGGTAGCAAGCAAGGAGCATGAACGTGTCGTTATATTCAGTGGCTTTTATTTATGCTTTGTGGATGTGTATTTTGATCTTTAGCTGCTGCTACTTCTTCATATTTTATCTAGTACGTATTCATATGGCTTTATTATATCTGGCGGATAGGTTGTGGTGTTGATTTGATTGATTCTTGATTAACGTTTTCTCCTTCTTCTTCTTGCTTGATTTCTTGTGCCAGTTTCATTTAGATTTTAGATTTTAGAGCATTGAACTATCATAATTTTTCAATGAACCATTTGATAAGGTTAACGTGAACTAGACTTTTGAAGAAAATTTGCATGACTTTTGATAGTATTAGTTCAGGTTTAATGTTGTGATTGTTATTTCATGCTTATTGTGAGATTCGATGATTTGATTGCGTTTTTGCATCATGCGAGAACAGAAGCTGTTTGGTGGCTTGAATGCACTGCTCCGTATAATATCACTTGGCTGATTGATGATTCAGTTCAGTGCTTGTGAACCCTTCTGACAGATCGTTGATAGGAAATACTCTAGTAAATTCTTATTGAAACAAGGTGTAATTGAAACAGCCGTATATATGCAGGCGGCAGCTATCGCCCCATATGTGCAGGGTATAATAGTGCAGGTTTCGAAGTATTATATAGAGTAAAGTTGATAAAAGTAACTTTAAGCTTTAAGAGAACTGTAATCTGAGGATTGTTCGTTAAATTTGCATTTAATAGCAGCAGTAGCATACGTTAAATGAGTTCGTTGGTTTGTTAAAAGTGCTAGAGCTTGACTATAGTTCAGCTATAATACCTAGCCATATAATATAGGCAGGCGGCGGCAAGCAGTGGTCGTCAGTGAGCAGTTAGAATGAATGAAGAAGCAAAAATGCTTAGGCTTAGTTGTGTGTGTTGTGTTGTGTTGTGTTATGGACTAGTAGGCCTTAGTTCGTTGGTTTTTTTACACAGAACAACATTTTCATCATAATCGTAATCATATTGTTTCACATTTCAGCATTTCACTGGTGTTAACGTGTGTGCTCTTAGCTTAACTTCACTTAACTTCAGTTTGCAGTAAGTAATTATGATCGACTTTAATTTAATTTAACGAACAATTAATTTAACGAACAAATTTTACAAGAAGTACGCAAAAAGTATTGGATATATGAGTTGCTGTCCATTTGATTGTTTGAAAAATAGTTTTGTTCGTTTAGACTTTAGACGTTAACTTTTAAAAGATCATATGATGTATGTGTATTGGTGTTCTTATATGGTGAAATTGATGAAATTAATGGGTAATTAGTTCGACGAGACTTTGTGTATAAGGAATGATTAATCGATATGTAGAGAGGAGAGGCATAGAATTTGATAGAGAGATGGATATTGAATGGATTAGCATGGAATAGATAGATACGTGTTAGGGATTGTTTGGTTTTTGACGTAGAGGTGATTGGAGTGGACTTTGGATTGCTGCTGCTTTTTGGGTGGCCAGAAGAAGTGGTGCATGGATATGGTTGTTTCGATAAACTTGCATTATTATTCTGACCTTATTATCAGTGAGCCATGAGATGGGCACTTAAAATTTTGATGATGAAAAATAATAGAAATACAGTTGATATTGACTGGTCAGTGGGCATGATATGATATGATATGGGCTGCTTTAGCTTGACCTGGCTTGAAGCTGTGGCTGTTCAATAGGTGGGCAGTAGACCGACGGGTTGATAGCAGTCAGATATGACGACGTAAATGAATAGCTGGTTATTCGGATGCTAGATGTAGGATATATGAACTGATCTATAAGATTGATATGAGACGATTATAGATGGATGCATGGTTTATTATGAAGCTGAAGTGAAGTTGATAGAGTTACGACGCCACTGGTACTAGCATTGCATTTACTAGGGAAGGCTAGATATAGCTTTGTTAGTAATAGTACTCAGAATAGTAAGTGATAGTGGTGGCTGTGCTGTGTGCGTGTGTTTGTGTCAAGTTTATGCGGCGAAATTTGCACACAATCGGTTCGCTTCATTGTTGCTTTCGTTGAAAGAAGTAAAAATATTGAAGAGGTTTTAAATAATGTTATGTTGAAGAGTTCAAATCTTGAATGCATAGTTGAAAGAATTCAACAACAAGCAAAGCTGTTTATTTGATACGTTTGTTCAGATGTTTCTTGATAACAAATTATGTAATAGACAGACACAAATAGTTGTCGTGTGATGATCGTTAGCACTTTTATGCGACAACTTTCATGTCTTATGGCCAGATGCATCTATCAGCAGCAGCACAAAAGCGGAAGGAAATAAGCGCACTAATAAAGCCACTACTCTTCTAGATAATCCGCAAGCAAACGTGAGCAGAGCACACAGNCGAAGACAGCATAGCAGTAGCAGGCAGCACTTCTGCAATAATCCATAACTAACAGAATATTGTTGTTTGTATTCGTCTGAGATCTGCAAGTGACATCCATCAATTTGGATTATATACGAATATCCATTAACGAATACTCGAGATCGTTCGAGTAGATATTCTCTTCTGCGCTGATTGATCACTTATCACTACGAAAGGTAAAATTATGATAAATAGATTGAACTGCTATCATTTTACCTGGATCGGCCAGGCTATCAAACGTTTGTAACG